AAGTATAAAAGCCATGATATGATGTAATTAAGAGCTTCTCACTGCACACCACTAACATAGCAACATGCAGATCAAGTTGTGAGTATATAGGCTCCCCAAACACTGATCATATGGTGGAAAAATTTCTTTCTACCCAGGAGGGAACATTTGTTTTCACAAAGCTTTATATCTATTGTACAAACCTCGCTCTCTATTGCCTAAGGTTTGGGTCTATTTTCCAGAAATAACTATATATTTTGATTCTTGAAAATGCATTTTTCTTTTATTACCACCTATTTAATCCATTAATATTCTATTGCTTATGCACTTGACACAAAAACAAATGACAATAAACAGTGAGAAAATGTTTAATTTATAGTAACAGATTTTTAATAAGGTATTTTGTTTCTGTCTTTTTGCTGATTATTCAAATATTCTGCTGTTTAACTTTTAATATTTCATCTCTGATTTTCAAAAATAATTCAGTGTAGCAGGTGGGCCTGCAATATGTAATTCATGCTACAATTCCCATGTAAGTACAGAAATAAGAATCAATTTTATTTGTTGGCATGTCATCTGTCTACCTCAACAGCACCAGGGTAGCAGAGGATTATTTAGTTTGCTTTAGAATAGTTTTATTTCAAAATGTAATTAGTCCCTTTGGGCAATATTTAATGTCTTCTGTAAATAATGCTTGCTTCTTTTCCTTTCCATCTCTTTGTCTTATTTCTTCAAAATGGAGAGAAGGGTCATGTTATGCAATGACAATTAGCAGGGCTTGGATCTGCATGTGCACTTTGACCTTGTCCCTTTGGTGTCATGATGACAATTAACACTACCTGGTCCTACACTTCTCTGCTGTTATAATTTGATCAATTAATTGCCTGGAATAACTCTCAAAGGGATCAGTTATCTGTATGTCTTAGCTTGGTCTCAAGTCCTGTCGCAAAATCTCTACTCTAGCTAGTAGACAAACCTGAAGGGCAATATTATCCTTGCTGTAAGCCTCTCTGGAAGTCTATCACCCTTCTCAAAGTCAGTGGGTCTTGAGGACTCATAGACACAGAGGACCTCAGGCCTTACTGGCCTTCTGTGTTATATTTTGCTTTGTGAACATCCAATCAAACATACCCCTCAATTTCTGATGCAGATTACTACCCCAGAACAAAGCCTGGAAAGTATGAGAAGCTCTCGTCTCATGCTTTATTTTCCTCCTCTCTTCTCTCTTTTCTAGTTCCTCACAAATTGAGAAACAAAAGTTATAGGAATGCTCACTTGTTTTCTTTTGTGCTACTTTCTCCTTTTCTGACAGGTTAGAGAATATTTTTCTACCATAAAGATAACTAGATGATCTGGGGTTTCTGAGCTATAGCCAATTTCTTTCTTATTCTTTCTGTTTTTCTGTAGTGGCAAATCTTAATTGTCCTCAAGTAGTAGAAGTATGCTAAAAGCCAATCAAGAAGGTCTTATCTTAGGAGTACACTGTCATTGAGTCTGAACTGACTATAGCTGACTCTGCAGTAGATTTTCAGAAGTCATAAATTATTTTTGAGTTGTGATATCGAAAAGGAGAACTAAAGAGAGCTCTGGTGGCCTAATGGCAGGAAGCTGTACTGCAATCTCAGAGGTGCATGGTTCAAATCCACCAGGTGATCTGCTGGAGAAAGAGGGACAATCTCCTCCTGTACCAGTCAGATCTGATTTGATGGTACACAAAACACAAATAATAAAATAAAAATTTAAAAAAAGAAAAGGAGAACTGAACATTCCATGGACTGACTAAGGAATAAAAATGTGTATCTTGGAGTACAACCAAAGTGTTCCTTCAAGGCAAGGATAGTAAAATTTTGTCTCTCTTTTTTTGAATTTATTGATATGAGGGTTCAGTCCTTGGGAAAAGATATCATGCTCAGAAAGGTAGAGGGTCAGCAGAAGAGAGAAATACTTTTAAGATGTATTGAAACAGTGACTATAACAATGGGCCCAAGTGTAGCAGAGATGATGAGAGCACAGATACTTCAAAGTTGAGACCTGTTGTTTATAAAGTCACTATGAATCATGATGAACTAAAAGCAGCTGACAACAACAGCACCCTAACCCTATGAGTTTATCATAAAAAAGCAAAAGAGAAGAGAAAAGTAAAAAAGACTTTCTAAGATTCTATATTGACTCTGCCATGTAAATCTGTAATACTTGTTTCTCAAACTTAAACTCATTGCTATCAAATCAGGACCCACTCATAGCTGAAACTCCAATGGGTTTTCAGAGACTAAATTACCTGAGACAAGACTAGTCATCTTTTTTCAGTGCAGCTGGTGGGGTATTCAAATCACCAGAGAGCCACCGACTTTGAGTTAGCAGCACAACTCCCTACAGATATGTTATGATGGTTACGGTTGCCCTAAGTTGATTTTGATTCACAGTGACCCCATGTGTATCAGAGTAGAACTATTCTTGGCAAGGTTTTCAATGGCTGATTTTTTTAAGTAGATATCTAGACAGTTCTTCCAACCCTACAGATTACACGATCAGAATTTAGCAGTATTTTTTTTCTATCTTCAAAGTTTCTCTGCCAAAAAAAAGTGTACAATTCTGTAAAGTGATAACTTCCAATAAAATATCTTACACTAAATATTTACATATAGACAATGTGGGGCCAAGTACTCCAAGGCTGAGTTCCAAATATTACTCAGTAACTTGAATTCCCCCTGTGATTATAGGCAAATCACATACTCATCTCTCTGCTCTTTATTTCTTACTTGAGAAGATGGAAGGTTTGCTCTAGATCATTCGTAGGATGCCTCTTCTTATACTCTCTAATCCAGAACACAGTGGAATACAGTGTGGGTAGATACAAGTATAGTCAAAATAATTTTAAAATTTATATTGACGATCTCATAGTGTAACATATCATATAACATTAAATATCAAACTCAAAAACTTCTAGGATTACAGGATATTACATAATAAATCCATTTCTGTAAGGTTTTATAACCATTTTAACTAATGAGTGAAGACCAGATGAGTTGTGGGAGGATGTCAAAGGTATCATTCAGGAAGAGTGCAAACGGTCATTACAAAGACAGAAGAGGAAGAAAAGACCAAAATGGATGTCAGAAGAGACTCTGAA